CGTGAGTCTCGACAACTGGACTACATTTCGCAGTTTACTTCAGATATTCAACACATCTCTGGAGCAAACAATGCAGTTGTAGACGCCTTATCTCGCGTAACTTTCTTGAACAGTTTCTAAGGAATCAACCCTCTTAAACTCGCCGAGCTTCAAAAAGAAGACACTGATCTTCAGCACGAGTTATCGTCTACAACCCTCAAACTACGCTTCAAACAGATGGGAACAGGTAAGGAAACCTTACCTTGTGACACATCTACAGGTAGCGATCGCCCAATCGTGCCAAACTATTATCGACGCAACGTATTCAATACGTTGCACAAACTTTCTCATGCATGTGTTCGTGCAACCACAAAGCTTATAGCAGAACGATTTAGCTGGCCTGGTATGAACAAAGACGTGAGGGAGTGAGCACGCTCGTGTGTAAGCTGTCAAAAATCTAAGGTTATCAAACACAACACATGTCCCTTAGGCTCTTTCAAAACTCCCGATGCTCGTTTCGACCATGTTCATCTGGATTTGGTAGGACCTTTACCAGATTCAAATGGATACTCTTACCTCTTAACCTGCGTAGACCGTTTCACTCGATGGCCAGAAGCAGTACCTATCATAGACATCACTGCTGTAACACTTGCTCGCGCCTTCGTCGAACGATGGGTAGCAATTTTCGGCTGCCCTTCAACCATCACTACAAACCGCGGACGTCAGTTTGAATCTGAACTTTTCCGTCGTCTGACCACACTTTTAGGAATCACTCGCTTCCGAACGACCGCCTACCATCCACAAGCAAACGGGTTGGTAGAACGTTTTCACCGACAACTAAAAGCTTCAGTATCAGCTGCAAACGTTTCACAGTGGACCGACGCTCTTCCACTCGTCTAACTAGGTATCCGCAATGCAGTGAAAGCTGAAATTGGATACACTGCGGCTCAATTCCTTTATGGAACGACACTTCGACTTCCAAGAGAATTCGTGGATCCTTCGCCCTCTTCAATGAACATGGATCTAACCTCCTACACAAACAGGCTTACAAACGCAGTGCGTTCAGTTAAACCTGCTTTCACTCGACCTCAATCATCCGATGTTTTCGTTCAACCTGACTTACGATATGGTACACATGTTTTCATTCACCGAGACTCGCATCGACGACTTTTCGAATCAGCATACGAAGGACCTTTTAAAGTTCTTCAACGCGAACCGAAGTACTATCTAATCGATAAGAACGGAACCAACGAAAGCATCAGCATTGATCGCCTCAAAGCAGCGTATTTAGAAGGAAATCCTATCCACGTCGATCTTCCTTCGGTAAAATCGAACGACACGACTCCACTCATAATTCCTCGATCGACAACCAACACACGCGATGATACTCCGAATGTATCTGAAAATAAACTTAAAACGACGCGTTCTGGAAGAAGAGTTAGATTTCTAGAACATTTAAACGACTATTGCAGGTAAGGCACTACTAGACATTTAATATTATCTCGATCTTTCTTTTTACGATATGTAATATATTTAAAAAAGTGAAAACAATTTTAATATGCTTATATATTTTTATTTCAAAAAAACAATATTACGTGTAAATTAGTTTATATTCCATTTTTTCGCCGACATTGTGTTTTTACGCACATACGAGTGTATTTCGACATGCACTTACATTTTCTTTTTTCTTTTCCAGGACGGCTGGAAAAGAACGATGACGTTTATGAAGATCCGGAATTTTCATTGTACATTTTCTTTTTTACTATGTTGTACCTCCGTCCCATATAGTAAGGAAAGACGACCAGACGCTGTTAAATTTAGTAAGCTATCAGAAGAGTGTTTACCAACGACAAACTCGCTGGGTTTAAACTTCTGAGTGGCCACGTCTTAGGGTCATCACTAACCCATTGGGGGGGAGTGATCTGTAGCAGTAAATCAATCCCTAAAATAAATAGCTCTGTAAGTTTTCGACATTGGATGGTGACCACATGTTTTAGTGGACTCATCTAGCTCAAGGCGCTCGGTCAGGCATCCGCACCAGATCACGTGTGGTAACGCTGTGCTCAACATCTACCGCAATCGCTAGCCAGATTAGATCAGAGAATTCCAATATATTGGTAATCGCCAAATACACTCTTCCGATCTCCTCGACTCTGTCTTTTGATTTCTCTGGGTGGGAACGAATTATATCAGAAGGTGTTGCTGGTAAAAGCGTTGGCAAACACTGAATACCTGCGTCATTTTCTGCTTAAACCTTCCTAATAGTGAAGTTTGTACAGGAGAACGACTTAAAGAATTTCTGGATGTGGAAAATAATGTGAATAAACGACTTATGGCTCAACGATAAATGCGTTTAATACTGACTACCGTCGAATCTATTCCTTTAATGAATATTCAAGTATAAATATAACAACTGTACTCAGTCGTTAAATTTTTTTCGCAAAAATGTACTTCAAGCAAAGGTATTGCAACGTTTCACTTCCCATAACGGCTTGGTAAAAGTGTAGTGGTATTGGTTCTAACCACACAATCCTCAAAGCTGAACATGAGATAAAGGGAAAGTTCATATTCAACAATTAACTCGAAGAGAAAGTCAACAACGGAGAAGGCGGGAACAATTAATCGAATTGAATTGAATGGCATGGCTCAGCCTTACAGACGTAGTCATCCTTGTGAAACTTATCTTCTTTATTCATATTAAATATATTGTTCTAAATTCAACCTGTGTTCTTTAGAAACGCTAAACATTATATCGCTGATTACTTCGATATGACGAATCATAATGGACAGTAATATGACTTGTACATAAGATGTTATAGATTATGTAGTCGCATCATGACATATCCACAATTTTTGGATTAAGTCTAGTATTATAGCGGTACTAATAACGAAATAAACCATAATTCTACAAACGTTCGTATTCGTTTGGACTATAAATTTTACTAGTATTCATCCGAACATTTTATTACAGGAAAGAAATTTATATATACGACTCAAAGTTTTAGCGAAACTACTAAACTACTGTTGTATTTACAGGTTCTCACAACGGAACGGGAAATTACAATGCGGGCACCTAGTAATTTCTAATTTTTACGAACAGTTACAACTTAAGATCATCAGTGTACCTTCCCATGAAACTATGGCGAAGACGAAAATAAAATTCGGCAAAGGTTTGCTGTTGCATCATTGCTACTGGTAGAGGAAGAATAACATTTGATACAGAAAAATAACTCAACAAGTTTCATGAAGAGTTAAGTCACGTACATATTTATATTCCAAGCCATGTTTTTATCCCAAAGAAAACTACAAAAATATACAGGTTAAAAAACCGGATTCTTATTTAGTTATTGATGATTCTTAAGTAAATATTGTCGACTATTCTCTCCACTAGGATTGCTAAGCGCCCACCATATTTATTCACTCTGTTGTCTGTGCACTTTTTGGCTTCGTTTAATTCGCCCGTGCTGTTTGCTTCGCCTGGGGAATGAAATTGTCGTGTTATTATGGAAAGAACTGAAATAAACTTATAGGTGCACTTAGCTGTGGTGAGCTAAGCTTTCTTAGTATCCACATCAGCAGCAGTGACCTACTTACCAGTTTTGTCCTGAATACTTTCTACCATTTCACCTATTGATGGTTATTGCAGAATCACCGGATTCAAGTGCTCTTCATTTTCTGAGGACAATCTTCTGCAAGGGAAAGGTTGATGTCATTTACCTTGATTTCTCAAAAGCTTTTGATAAGGTTAACCACTTGTGTCTTATCAACAAGCTCAAACGACTAGGTATCAAACCACCTCTAATCGATTGGCTTACTTCATACCTAAAAAATCGACACTTTAAGGTTTGGGGTTATTTCACTTTATATCAGGCTATGGAATGTCCTAGTGGGGTCCCCCAGGGCTCAGTACTAGGGCCTCTTCTCTTCTTGATCTACATAAATGATCTTCCTCAACAGGTAACGTCAGACTTATTACTTTTTGCCGACGACGTGAAACTTTGGAGAGAGATACGCAACCAAGACGATACACAAGCACTTCAGGAGGATCTGACTCGACTTCAAAGTTGGGCAGACGATAACGGACTTACCTTTAACACTTCAAAGTGTAAAGTAGTCCATCTGCGACATGTCGCAAACTACAGTTACAACTTAGGAAACTCCTCTCTAGTAGTATCCCAAGTCGAGAAAGATTTAGGAGTCCTGGTGCCCCATGATTTGAAGTCTTACGCTAACTGTGACAAAAATGCCTTCCGAGCAAACCTTGCACTGGTAACGTTGAGGCGCATTTTTGTCCAGTTTGACGGAAGAACTTTCCATATAATCTTCAATAGTTTCATCCGTCCCCATTTAGAGTACGGAAACATAGTACTCCCCCCTCACTCCAAAAGGACAAGGTCACTTTGGAGCGTATCCAACGGCGAACCACGAAATCAGTTCGAGGACTCAAATCTAAGCCTTACGAAGAACGCCTCCGTTCACTAGACCTTTACCCAATAGAATACAGGCGTCTTAGAGGTGATTTATTAATGGCTTATAGTATTCTTAACACTTCTAATCATCCTCTTAAACACCTACTTAAGCTTAGTTCGAATAATAACCTAAGGGGTAACACCCAGAAACTGGAAACAGAACATAGCAAGACGGAATGTAGACACAACTTCTACTCCTTAAGAGTTGTGAAAAGCTGGAATTCGCTGCCGGCCGAGCTAGTCCAAGCGACTTCTCAGGAGTCCTTCAAGAGGCAACTTGACCTATTCTTAAGAACCAAGGACAGCATCACACTATGATTTACCAATTTCTTTTCCTCTTTTATTGTTAACATACCTAGGTTCCTGCCTGGAGGATTTGGTGATCCCCTGCTACTAGACATGGAAGCCTGTTAAGCGAAAGCTTCTTCTATTCCGTCCACAACCATTTGAACCATTTGAACCATTTGAAAGATCAACAGAAACCTCACATTCTTTTATTCTCACTGAATAGGATTGAATTTCAAGGACAGACATTTTAAGTACACTACCAAAGTCACTCAGACGACCTTGCCAAATATGTGCAACTTTTAAGGTTCCCTGGCCATGGGTCAATAGGACGTCAACATGTCCGCAACAAATATCAACAATTTAAATTTCAACTTACTACTTGATGAGATTGAATCGGGTAGCAGCGGTTCGTTAGCAAATGTTATTCGCAAGCTACGAGAGAGTGAGTTGGCAGCTTTCAAAGCTCGCATAGGAGGTCCAACAGGTGAACTACTAGCTAGTTTCATAGCATCTCTTGATCTGCGTGCATCAGAGCATAATGCAGAAATAGAAAAGACCTGCAGCTATCACTACCAAAGTTTCGTTGATTCCACACGTGAATTACTTGAAATCCAGCAAAATGCAGAAAAGCTTGAAAACGATTTACAAGCACTAAATGTGGAGCTGGAAGTTACAGTTAATAAGGTTAGACTCATTTTTTATAAATAACTTGGCCATTCCAATAACTAATGTCCGAATTTTTCCTTTCAACCATAGCTAGCGTTGTTTTGCCTGAACTCAGGGAATTTTGTGATTTTCAGCTATGCACATAAAATCGACATAATGTATCGTAGCATCGATATATATATATATATATATGACCTGGTTTATTGAGCTGGAGACTTAGAAGCAAGACATTTCTGTGAGGTATTTCTAAAATCCTTGAATCTCTAGATCGTCAGATTTTTCACTAGACCAACTTTTGATGTCCACGAGTAAAGGCTACCAATGTTTTCAACTAAAGGCTTAAGTACGTAAAGACAATGTCTGAACCAAAGGGTAAAAATTGACGTGAAAGTTCAAGAAAATCTGGAGCTAAATAAGTGTCCTTATGAGAAGAGTTTTCCATGAATTTAAATATTGTACACAATACAATCGGTTATACACTCATGCCAGTTTGTGGATATTCCTCATCTATTTTGTTGGAACTAAACTTTAGCGAGTGCTTTGGTGACTCCGAGTAGGTCAAAATTTTGTCTCTTATCCGTATAATAAAATCTAAGGATGTTATGTAACAGAGTCGGTCAGGGGAGTGTAGCAAATCACATATGGCAGCATCTAAGTGTTTATTTTAAAGAAAAGAAATTTAGATCATGCTTCTAGCTGTCGTTTTAAAAATTTAGACATCTGGCGGGGGTGCTTACGAAGTTGAGAAGACGAAAAGCAAATGTCCGGTGCCCTAACCGGGTTGGTGGGCACGGAGAGTCCGCCTAGGGGAGTTGTAAAACTCCGATGGTGGACATGGGCTCCAGGATCCTGAAGGAACAAAAGGCGTATGAACCCGGGCAGCCGGGCAGTATCTCAGCCCTCACATAAATCGAATGATGTATGCAGCGCACATGTTTGATGCCTCTTTGTACCAATATTTATGTGTTCAAATAAATAAAATATCCTACGATATCAAAAAGTTGTCACTGTGGTGTCGTGGCTCCCACTTTATTTACTGTCAGGGAAGCTAAATTTTTATGGATTCAAATCCATAGTGATGATATATTGTTTGATTTGAGGGAAACCATTATTGTTTTCATCGTATAATTATAACGAGAAATATCAGTGAATGGCTTTTTGTAAATAATATCAGTCGCACTGTTGCAGGAATTGTGAGATATTTCAGGAACTCTTGATCGTATAGCTGTTGAGTATGAAATTAATAAGATGTAGGAGGGCGATATACAATCAAGTTCATCTGAATTATACTCTCCTCTCGTTAAGTAATAATAGTCGGTCCTTAACCGTAAATCTATAAGAAAGTAACACATCTATTTACGTATAGTTGTTCTCACCACTTAGTTCTCACAACTCTATTTTTGATTGATTAATTTTAAGGATTCATGAAAAAGGCTTTAATGTTTATTTAAAACATCCGAAACAGTGGCTGGTGTCAGAGAACCTAATAATTTGTGTTTTTTAGGTTGTCTTCTCCAATTTTTAATAGTATGCAGTCAACTAGATAAGTAATCAGTCTTGATCTATTTTGGTGCAACTGAAATAAATTTTTTCGTGTTTTTTTGTGCCGGTTATAATTACTGGTAGTTAAAGTGTGTGGGATTTCACAGGATAGCCATAATATGTGGTTAGCAAATTTAAGTGATGCAAATCTAAATCTGTCAATGTCGTCCAAATACATCAATTCATTCTCTGTATTCAAGTCTCCGCATCAATATCCGTTTTGACCGTGTTCAGTGATGTAGTCGAGTACATTAACCAGTCCATTTACCTTGAGAGTCTTATCAGCCTTGTTGAGTTGTTAGCTGACTAAATATACCTCAGTTGAGTTGTCTATTTGTATCAAAGGTCTTTATTTTCCTTCGTGGATGTGGAGTATTTAGTATTTAGTCATTAGTATCTTCGAAGCATTGCTCATAAATAGTTGAATAACCAAGTGAATATTGCTGAAGTTAAAAGTGGGGTAGTACGTGGATATACAGAATCGTCAATAAGGATGTGATTCTACATCCTACCCAGTTTTCTGTTCTGGAGAACACAGAAGAAAGTTGGGAAAATTCCACACGAAACCTTGGCAATAATCCATAATGTGCTTAACTTTATCGAGAGGAATAAGTTCCTCAGTTGAGGTCCGTGCGGTATTCATTAATAATGATTAAAAACCTTAAAAATAGCTTAATGTCGGTCGCACTGGGGTAGACACAACTATTACTTGTCTCCCTCCAAACATTGTGCTTTTATCCACACACTTTACTCCGCACATTTATGTGTTATTTTTAAAATGCATGCTTAATATTCATTTTCTATCATCACAGACGTGATTAATGTTTAGGTCGTCCTTACTATTCTTATCATTCTTTTATTTTACTAATGAACTATGTGAAAAACTGGACTGACTCACATTTGTGTTCTGTATTTATTAATATTTTGTGAATTATGTCGAGGATTTTATTACTTAACACTTTTCATTCATCGATTTCACTCTTTCGGACTTCGTTTATTGACTTATTCATGTCAGTTCTAATTCCCTTTTGTTTTTTCTGTTTGTTTCATTTTACATTGTTGATGGAAATAGTAGTAACACTTACCAGTGTACATCCATTAGTCGTAGTCTGGCACAAATGTGCCTCCGTCCTGATTTTTAATATCAGGGACATATAGGAGGCTATTTGAAATAGATGTATCGCTAATAATAGTGAGAAAAGCTAAACATTAGGGAGTGTAGTTACACATTTGTATCAGGTCCTAGGTTGTTCACGATCGCCTCATTTAGATCGTAATCCTTTATAACAGTTTTGATTACCTGACGTTTATGAACTTGACACAGTTCCTCATACCTTGAACTTTCCTTGCTTTATTAAATGATTGTTTTCTTGTTGTGAAATATGCTTCATAGGTTTTCAAAAAGCTCCTAATTTCGATGTCGTCAAATACAATTCTTAGCCAATAAAATTTTAGGAACGTATAAAAAACAATCCACTATATGTCAAGCTTGAAACAGATCTTACTAATTGGAAATAATTAGTTCTCATAACAAAAGTTAGCGATTTATGGTTACGATAGGGTTGTCCTTCCTTTTCGAAGTGTAGTTTATTAGCACGTAATTTTTTCAAGATGTAATCCCTTCAAATGCACCTTTATGACGGAATGTAGCCATATATTTCATGTATATTGTCATTGATGGTTCACATAAACGGAGATTGTAAATAAAGCTAAATATCTATGGGATATCTGGTCCTGTAAGTAAACTATGAGAAACTGCAATCTATTATTCGTCAAAGAAATCGGTTTTTTTTACCTATAATCGGAGTGAGTGGCAGGATATTTCGAAGTGACAGGTCTCAAGTTCAAGCCTCAGTATGAAGATCAAAAATGATTATCACTAAGCTCATTTGGTGATTTTAGATGCATCCTAGATTTCGTTGCGGGTTACAAAATATAACTAAAGTTTTTATTGTCATTCATGATATCTATTTATTTCCCAAATTACCTACTTTTTTTACTGTTTTCATTTTTTCTTTCGATTTTCTTATAATATGCCCTATAGTATAATTATTGAAATTGATACGCTTGCATTCTTTAACCTCTCTGTTTCGGTTTGTCTTGACGTCTATTGATGCAGTGTGACTTTGAATGAACTAATTTCCCATTCTAGCCTCGTACGCTGATCTATGTTTTGTTGAGAAAATTTTTTAACGAAATAAAAACTATAATGTATTAAGGTTTATTTTAAGAAATATCGATGAAATGCATCTAACTAAAATTATGAATGTTTTCTAAGCTAGGTGAAAATGACGTTAAGTTTACACTTTCCCAAGTTACGGAAAGTTCTTTTGGTTTTTTTCAAAATACAAGGTCAATTTTAGATAAAAGGGAAACTAATCTGTTATTGGGCATCTTATTGTGATGGAGTCATATGGCCAGATTACCAACTTGTTAGGGATTCTGAAAATATCAGATGGATTTTATGCTTTAAGCTCGTTTAAAGCAATAATCCAACTTCTGTATTTTATCCATTATAACAATTCATTTGACACTATGATAAAATTTATAAACCTGCTATGCGGTATGTTGTTGTTTATCTGCGGAAATTCGGTGGTTTTTATTTTTAGTTTAGTGAATCGTGTGACAAATTAGCCGCCTGTAAACTCACTTTGGATCATGTGAATCAATGCATTGAGGCAATTCAAATCAGTCTTCCGATATTAGAACAATACTCTCGCATTGAGCAAAGTATTGCTGACGGAAGGTACTATCATGCCTTGAAAAATCTTGAAGACCTAGAGCATTCTCAACTGGATCTAATTCGCCCGTTCGCCTTTTCTGAAATCATCATTCATCGCATACCGAAAACAAGAACGAGAATCAAGGTTTGTCTGGCCAGTATATTGATTTTAGCGTTTTGCTTTAAAACCCTTGTTAATTCTTGTTATTATTGATGACAAAGCATTTTATAAAAAAATGTACATTGACTTTGTTTTATAACACACATATATATATGAAGGAAAAAATATTCCTTTCAATGAATTCTCTTCAGGTACTTTGCAATTATATATGAAAAATAATAATCCAATCAGTGGCCAGGTTTAAGGAGAAATATATCGTTTAAAAATTGTAGTATATGAATTTAGAATATTAAAGTACATGAAAATCGTTGATGTTTAGATGACTATCATGAAGTGTTACCCTGAATAAGTTTTTAATTTAAATGAAATCTTGAGATAAGTGATCAGAATAAATATGGTTCACACAGGAGGAGAGGGATTGTAATGTAATTACAAATCAGAAATCATGTAATATATAGAATTATATGAATTAAGTACGAATTAGTTAATAAGAATGGATGTTGAATAAATTTCTCAAAGCGTTTGCAAGTATTTTAATAATAATGATAATAGTGACGATAATAATTGTGATAATATATATGATTAAGCTATGAAAATGCGAAAAAGAGGGTTGTATGAACAGTGAATACAATGTTGCTATCAACTTATTGCGTTGAAGGCAGTCAATGAGTTCCTGAAATAAAGCGAAAAAATAACGTAAACGAAAACATCTTTTGGATTTATAGGGAACTGTATTGAATCATGTCATTATCCGGAACTTTATTCTTTCTTCCTTGTAGAGACGCTCAATGTTGTATACGTTTACTTTCCGCCCTGATATGTTTTATTATTTAGTAAATATTTGTTTGCTTTTAATTTTTCTTCTCCAGATATCACTAGTTGATATCATATGATCACATTTTGATTTAGCATGGAGTGGGAATTCATTGGTAGTAGAATTTCACAGTGGCCGTTCATTTTCCATCTAAGCTACATAGTATAATTTCAGAAGTCTTGGTATCATTATCATGGACTTCAAAATAAGGTGCTTAGCTATATCTTCTGAGGTTTATATTTTTGAATATCAGGACAAATGTTTATATAATCTCTTGGTTTGATAAATATCATAGTTCGTTAATTCAATGTGAAAATTCATCCATGGAAACCACTATGCCGTAATTCATCGTAAATATATTTTCCTTACTATTAGTAAATCTACAAAATATAAGTCATATAAAAATGCTTGTCATAATCATCTGTTGAATAGCACTGAAAACCTACTCTTCGGTAGCACTTCTAGTGAGACAAAAAGAACATTAGCTTTTCTAAAAATTTATTAAAAAACATTCACATTTAAACGTTCAGTTAAATAATAGTTGGAAAAGAGTAAAAACGATCGAAAAAACTATAGCCGTCAACAACAGAAGTGGAGTAAAAATTAAAATGAACTGTGTGTATGTTATTTATCGAAGCAGAAACACTTCAATTCACCGGGCTTATTCACTGGTGAAAACATTCATCTACAGTTTTAAGGCCTATTCAAACACATTTGTTTGGACGGTGTTTATCAAATCAATAAGAATATATATATAACTCCGCCCGTAGCTCTTCTAGGGCTACTACCGGTCCCAATCCCAGGTAAAAGAGGAAGGTTGGGCGTGGAGCTAGTAACGGCTTTCTGTACAAAACAAGTTTGCTAAAACAGAACGCTAACTAGAATAAACAAATTAAACCATTTAAACTCTGCCCTCCCGGTTGAAGAAAGAATTATGACGCCCCACGATGAAAGCAGAGATTCTTCGGAAGTTACAAGACTGATGCCTCTTCTAACGACCCGGGCAACAATTAACTTTGGTACGTGGAATGTTCGGACAATGTGGAAAACCGGGAGAACAAATCAGATAGCTATGGAATTGAGGAGATACAATTTGACGGTGCCCGGAATCAGTGAAACCCTTCGGAACCCACAAAACTACGTGGGTCTCACCGGACCACGCCACAGAGAACCAGATAGATCAACTCAACGAATTCGAGATAACTCATCGACAGGTTCCAAGCCTTACAAAATTTACTGAAAGAAGAAATTGCTATGAAAAATAACTAGAGAGGGATCAAAGAAGCAATAACTTCTTGTCAGGAGGTTCTTTGTCGCAAGAAGTGGAATAATAAAGAATGAGTCTCTATCGAAACTCTGTACAAGATTCAAGAAGAGTAGGACAAGAAGACAACATCTAACAATAGCCGAACAAGAACAGAGAAAAACAAGGCACAAGCTGGATACACAGAAGCAGACAAGCAAGTGAAGAGTAGCATTAGAGCTGATTGGAAAAAAACACATGGAAGAGCTAACAACGACGGCCAAAAAAGCTGCAAGAGAAGAAAATATGAAACAACCATATGATACAAAGAAGAAATTAGCAGGGAGATAAGTTAAACCAGGGAGACCGAAAAGACGATCATGGAGATTCAAAACAGCGGAACAGATGGGTAGAGTACTTCAAGGTACTGTTGAATAGACTAGCTCCATTGAATCCACCGGACATTGAAGCAGCACACACGGACATTCTTATACCGGTCACTCCACCAACGATCGAAAACGTCAAGATGGTCATCAGACATGCCAGGAGTAGAAAAGCAGAAGGACCTGACAGCATACCAGCTAAAGCACCGATATCAGATATAAAAGTAACTGCAAACATGCTCCGCATTCTACTCAAGATTTGGGAGGAGGAACATGTCGACAGACTGGAAAGAAAGATACCTCATGAAAATATCAAAGGAAGTAGATCTGAGAAAATGTGAGAACTACAGAGGAATAAAACTACTATCGGTACCTGGAAAGGTTTTCAAAAGAGCGTTGTCGAACCGGAAGAATCAGTAGGCGTACAGCTTCGAAATCGGTAGGTTGGATTCCGTAAGGCTCGGTCATGTACAGATCGAATCGCGACAATACGGATCATTGTTGAACAATCACTTGAATGGAACTCACCACTATACATCAACTTCTTTGACTATGAGAAAGAAATTAACAGTGTGGATAGGAGGACTTTATGGAACCTTGTCCGACACTATGGACTACTTGAGAAAATCGTCAACATCATCCGGAATTCATATGACAGATTACACTGCGACGTCGTGCATGGAGGACAGCAGACAGACTCATTCGAAGTGAGGACTGGAGTCATACAAGGCTATTTACTCTCACCGTTTTGTATTTTTTGTGGTGGTTGACTGGATTATGAAAACCTCGACATCTGTGGTGGGGGGCGGAACACGGAATACAATGGACAGCTCATGATCAACTATACGTTCTGAACTTCAAAAATCACCTAGCTCTTCCATTCCATTCACATGAGCAAATCCAGGTGAAGACAATCACTGTAGTGAGAGACTCTGCAACAGTAGGCCTCAACATACACAAGGCAAAAACGTAAGATCTTCAAATACAACACGGTGGACACCAACCCAATCACAATTGATGGAGAAACTCTGGAAGAGGTGAACAGTTTCACGTACCTGGACAGCACCATCGATAAACGAGAAGGATCAGGTGCAGACGCAAAGGTAAGAATTAGCAAAGCAAGGACAGAATTCCTACAGTTGAATAACATACGGGACTGGAAACAACTGCCGACCGATGTCGAAATCATAATCTTCAATACGAACGACAAGGCAGTTCTACTCTACAAAGCTGAAAGTTGGAGAACTACTACAAACATCATCAAAAAGGTGCAAGTATTTATAAATAGCTGTTTACGCAAGATACTCAATGTCCGTTGACCGGATACCATCAGCAACAGCCTACTGTGGGAGAGGACAAACCAGCTTCCAACTGAAGAGAAATGGGAAAAGGCGCTGGAGGTGGATAGGACATACATTGAGGAAATCATCAAACTGCATCGCGAGGCTAGCGCTAACTTGAAATCCTGAATGGAAACGGAAAATAGAAAGACCAAAGAACACAATGTGTCGGGAATCGAAAGCAGACATGAGAAGGATTACTAGCAACTGGAAAGCATTGTCCAGGACAGAGTTGTATGTAGAATCCTGGTGGGTAACCAATGCTCCTCCAAGAGGGGAAACAGGTGTAAGTAAAAGTAAAGAAAAGTGCTAAGAATATAATGGGAAGCTCGCAGCTAATTCATTTAACTCAGGAAGAAAAAGTAATAATTTTTAAAATTCATCCTTATAAATTAAGTTTAAGCAGTGTGTTGAAGATTTTTAAATGCTTCTTTTTATCCATACATAAAACTTTTATTGAGACATTGATAATGAATTGTAGTTCAAAAGAACAATCTTGGTATTATGTTGTATTATTTGAGTTGCAGGCTGTATTCGTGAAGTTTTCGTTATGTCTTCCCAAATCACATTACCAGTACATATATAGAAAAAAGTTTCAATTTTGCACTGTGATGATTCTGTGTCTCGAGGAATGTTGAAAGTTTCATAACTGGATCATTTAGCTGTGCGAGTGAAACACTGCCGAAAATGACGAATAATTATCTCTTTTTTGTTGAGAAAACCTTTTTAAATTAAAACATTAGTAAGAGTTCTTAATTCTTTATTTCGCTAGAATGCAAGTCTTGATGAATTAACTGATTTTCTTGAATACATACGGAAAAATTCAATAGTTCTTGGTGCATTTGCTATGCGAGAAGCAGCACAAGTATCTGGAATAGATAGTGAAGCACTTTGCGATACCTTGGCAGTTAATGGATACAAAGAAGCACAGGATGTAAGCAAAAAACCAAATAACGAATCACAACAACAAGTGATGTTGAAATCGTTAGTTCACAAAGCATCCGGTTAGTAACCTTTTTAGGTGTTTTTTGTCTACGTTTATTATAATTTTATTTATCGTAGAATAAGGTCTGGTGATGTTGGTCCAGAACGATGGTCATATGTTTGCAATAAAATTTCCCGACCTGGAGAACACTCTTTTAACAGAAACACATTAGTCATCTCATTCATAAATGTTTGTTACGCAATGATCTTCTCATGACACTAATTATCGATCCCCACTTCTTGTCTTATTTTTACTTAGTTAATTTTGTTTTACGGGTTACATAACTATAACAATAATGTCTTGTTCCTAAATAATTCTGTTTCTATTCTCTTAGTTTTGTATTCTACAATATTAATATATTAAACCTGTAAATACTCACATTATTTGGCTTATAAACATTTCTTGTAGTTCTTATATAATCAATGCTTTTTTCATTAGTCTTCACTGATGAGAAATTTTCCCGTATTATGATATAATATATGTAAGGTGATTTTTGATGATTAATGTTATTATGTTTAAGTTGTAAGCAGAAAACTAGAAACTATAAAATATAGTGATGTAATGTTATTTTGCCACGTTAATTGTTTTTGCTTTAGTCAAATTTATAAATAAGATATATTGTATGAAACAACTGAAATAGCTTAACTTCATTGTGGAGTAAACTTTTTAACAAAAAGTCATTTATTTTGTACCAAACTTCTTCGTAGTTTAGCAGTACTCATGCAAATATCAATATAAAAACTGTCCAATTAGATTTCGTAACTTACAACATGATACGTGGGCATATACATGATAATCGATTGATATTCCTTTTTTTCAACAGTTACTATTTTTTTGATTGAAATCATGAATCGATGAATGTTAGACAGCCGTTGGAAACTTGGAAGCAATAGATGGGTGTTTCGCGCGCGAACGCTTAACCTCTAGAGCACTTAGCCGGCATCTGGCGGTGTTAATGTCTAAATTCCATCGATCTATGAATGACTGCGCAACCATTCGTCCATTGACTGAGGTAGATACCTGTCTCTATCCGACACAGATGGAACTCCACTGGTTATGGCTTTTCACTAGAACTCCAGAAAATCATCTTGAAGTTAGTCACTAGTGAGATCGAAGGTCCTGTGTTCAGATCCCTCGTGCGATGTCATGGATACACACTGCCGAGGAGTTTCATATTAGAACGAAACGGCTGTTCAGTGCTTCCAGGTTTTCATGATGTCAATCAAAAAATTTTAACAATCTCCACAACTCCATACTGATAATATTTACCATTTACACATTGTGTGACATCTTCGAATATTCCAGCAATTTCTTGATATCTTGATGAATTAAACTTTTTGTATACATTTTTCTGGTTAGGTTTTCATATATATAATCAATCGTTTGCTGAAATAGTTACTATTTCACTTGATTATTTGTCGAAGTTAGGCCAATTCTGAGATTCATTTTCGTCATGGAATAATATCAGCTGATACACTTAAAGCAAGGGGTCACTAAATAGTTATGAATACCTAGATTGGTACTACACCTTTTTATTGAGTAGGCACTACCCAATTATGTATCGAACCCAGGACTGTAGAACTTTAATTGCTTAGAATTTCGTTTAATAAAAGAATGTTATCAGAATTTAGTTCTAATTAAAGAGCTGTTTTCATCCTCATACTTCATATACCACATCATGTCATTAAAAGAGTCTAGAGCGTTACAAAATTTATATACATACTTATACAAATATATATGTACATACGCACAAATCAGTAGTCAACTGTCAGTTACCACCAGTTTTTATATCCTAGTTACCAGCCAGTTATTATAGAACTCAGATGAGGGATTTAAATGATTACAACAAAATTTACGTACATCACACACAACTGTAAATTAGTCTTAATTTTATAGAATGCTCGGTCAGTCACTATTTGAATGAGAAATGTTGCGGGGTTGGACTTCCAATTTCTTTGAATCCAGGCCAAATATTTTTAAGAAACGTTAAATATCCCTATTTCCTGAATTGTATCTCAAATCTAAGTTGACAAGCTCGCACTTAGTGACTGATTCACACCAATTCATATCAATATTCGGACTCGCACATAATGACGTTTAATTCTATCGCATTAAATGTGTGTATTTGTATAAGTAATTTATTGTACAGCTTATCGTTTTTCTTATGTTATATGTTGCCCACTGATGTATTGTCACACCTATATATGCTCCTTGCTCACTGACTCATTCACCCAATCTCTCTTTATCACTGTTTCCTTATTCAGTTAATACGAATACTGATAGTTTAGATAATGAATTAGAAATGTTAACTCAAATTGTTACAAATAAAAATCATCCATGGATTACCAATGATGATCATGGTGAACCAGAAATGACAATAAAAACTCAAATAAATGTTAATAATGATGATAATTGTTGTAATCGTACATATTCAAAAGTGGAGGATTTAGTCGATTTCGGACCAGTGTATCGATGTTTGCATATTCATTCTGTATTGAATGAACGAGCGGAATTTGAACGACATTATTGTACTCAACGACGAAAACAGTGTCAATTAATTTTGAGTTTATCACCAAATCAACAAGTAAGTCGTTGCTTTCATTGTGTACACTTATTATTGATATTGATAATATTATAATTATTTATATTAGTATGTTATTTTATATGCAAATCAATTAATACAAAGGACAGTCAGTTAAATGAAGGGAACACTCTTCAACAAGTTCATTTTTGAAGATGTACACTCGTGTTTATTTATTTCAAATTACGATTCTAAATATAGTTAGTAAAGTAAAATGTAAGGGATCAACTGTGTCTTCTATTCCGAAATTTTTAATAGATCCCGGATATTTCGACACAAATCTACCCATCGATATAATTTTAAATTCATTTGAAGATTTTTAGAAATTTACTACTTTTTAAACTGCAAAATTATAAAGATTGTTTAAGCTAGAATTCTTTGAGATGATGGAGAAGATTTGTAGCTCAGGTGGATGATTTTGATAGAGTTTTGTTCTCTGAGCTGGATGGTCTGGTCGTGGAGCTTTCATCGTTATTATGAACGACATCATTAGCACAAACTTCAAGTAGAGTGAAGTGTTCAAATTTCTCCATATGTGGCTCACAGTTTGTCCTGTAGATTTTGATGTTGATTGGCTATTGTTGACCTTTAAACTGTCATTGTTTGCTTTATTTTGATTGTATCTCCCATTGGTTTGATTCTTGGTCCTACATTTGTCCATAAGTTTTCTGATTGGTTGATAAATTGGGTCGATTTCAATGTGTTTGTTGGTTGGTGATTGACCTGAGTGCTAAGCTTCTAAAACTTCTCTGGTGTTTTTAGAATTCCCTCTACCCGAGATCTCAACATTCTTCCAGTCGAATGTGTGTCCACAGTTGTCCACATGCATTGATATAAGTGAGGATATGTCATGGCGTTTGACTGGTAAATAATGTTCATGCAGGCAAAGATGAATTGCGCGTCCACTTTGTTCAATGTAATGTTTTTCATACTTGGAACAATTTACTTTGTAGATGATGTTCGGTTTTTCTTCTTTTTTCACTTCGTCCTTTGGTTTGCATAGGATTGATTGAAGTGGTTTTGTTGGTTTGTGTGCTACACCTGTTCCAAAAGGCTTCAACAATCTCGTAATTTCTGATGTGCCTTTTACATATGGTTCGATGATCTGTTTGTTGGTTTTCGTACCTGATTTTGTTTCCGCTGATGCGTTCATTTGGTATTTTTTGACGAAGTTGGTTGAGTAGCCGTTCTTTTAAAAGATAGTCTTTATATAATTTTCCGCTCTGCTAGTGTGTTGCAGTGTGTCCTCACCCTCTTGAACAAAGTTTGTACGCAATTGATTTTGTAAGCTCTTGGGTTGTTGCTACTGTAATTGAGAATTTGGTCTGTGTGGGTCGGTTTCCGATATACTTGAGTCTCCAGTTTTCCTGTGTTGGTTCTGGTGATTAATTATCCAAGAATGGTAGTTTGCTGTTTGACCCTTGTTCCATTGTGAGCTTGATATCATCAAAGACGTTGTTGATCAGGTTGTAGGTGTTTTCCAGCTCATCCTTTTTGACAATAACGAATGTGTCGTCCACATAACCAATCCAAAGTTTTGGCTTGATCACTGGTCAGGTCGAGGCTTCCAGTCTCTTCATCACTGCTTCTGCAATAAGTCTTGATATTAGTAATCCCGTCGGTGTTCTTTTCGTTCGTAGATTTTGTTGTTGAATTGAAAATAAATTGTTAAGTATAAATCGATGAGTTCTAGTAGACCTTGACTTTGAAGCTTCGTGTACTTTGGGGGATTTGTGTCGTTGATCAGAAGCAGGGATAGAGTTTCTTTTGCTAAGCTTGGTTCAATTGTAGTGAATAAGGCTGTTATGTTGGAGGATATAATCAGTTCGTCGTTGTTAATTTGAATGTCCTTAATCTTGTCTCGGAATTGTATGGGAGATTTGACGGAGTGAGTGGATGAATCCAATAAATGTTTCAATATTCGTGAAATTTCTCTTGACAAATTGTGTTACAATTTTATGAATTTTATCATATTCTAAACTTTTCATGAACACAAGGCTGTCGATTTCACTCTAAGTGGAAAACTCGTTGAGTTTGTGACTGTTTATCAACTAAGGGGATTGGAATATATATTACATATGCCTAAGCAACCATTATTTACTTCGATGGACAGTGTTAGTTAACTGGTATGGAAATAGGTTCAACGAAAGCTTATGGGGTCGACCAACGAAAACGTAATACTGGTCCATGGAGTTATTAACTGTTGGTCTAGTCTACGTCGATAAATGAAGATTATCCGACTTTAGTCCACATAATAATTACAATCATTGTTCGGAGACATCGTGTGACATGGCTCATAATAGATTAAAATACCACAGATGCATTCCTTACTTATATCGCTCTATATCTTAAGTTTTAGCATGTCCTTATACGTACCTTCTCATTCTGTCGTTTACAACCATATTCTCGAAATTTACCCTTATCATCATAGTGAATAAATTATTTCTGTTTTTTGTTATTCGATTTGTTGATTCCATATCGTCTTGCTAATGTGATATGATAAGCATGGCTAACAAATATTTGTGTCATGATCTACGTTGTTTATGATTGATTGACTGACCAAATGATTAATGTAGCTTTGTGTGGAGGGGAAAATGGGGGAATAACATATTCGTTTATTCTATTGGATTAGTTCACTTTTTTACCATTTTAAATCTCCACACATCCCTTATATTAAGTTCACTTTTGATTATCATAAGAAAAATAATCATTAGTTTTGTGTAGTTGTTTTCTTGTAAGCTTTATCAAAAATGAAAAAAAAGTCTAGATCCCAGTTGTATTATTGTTTTATTTTCTTTGATATCTTAGAGATACTGTTGTTGTATAGTTCATTGTTTGATCATCTTTATCCGTTCTTTTATCAATATCTTCATTTTGAACAGTAGTGGTATTCATGATTCTATAAATATTGAATCGTTGAGCGCCCTGTATTTCAGTTTAAATGAGAAAACTAAAACTTTCTAGGATATGTATAATTCATTTAGCGGAAAACTACATCGAAAGAAACATTCATCATTGATTCTATTTATAGTTATTGTTATTATCACTTTCTAGATATAAATATAGTCTCATATTTTATCTTGCAATTATAATTACTTTTAGTTAAAATGTGATAAAAAATTTCTTTCTAACAAGACTCACAATTCAATAATTTACTGAGAATTAATCAACTGAAGGTCATTTATTGGTACTATGCGTTTGTGTGTACTCAGTTCAATGGTTATCTTACATTAAAACACTAATAAGAACTAGCGTGTGAATCATATTTGATTGGTATCTTATAGTGCATTGTGTTTTGTAATGAATAATTTAGAATGCATCACATGTATAATAATAATAATAACAATCACACTACACTTACGAAAGTGAAATTAGTTTATACAAAAATAAGCCGATTCGTATGCTTGATTATGAATATTAGTCTCGATGGTGATGTTGTTTATTTTTAAGTACTTTTTTCTCTCAAAAAGAAGTGTATTACGTTTTATAATTCAGCTGCTTGTTGATAAAGAATTTTTTTCGTGAAAATGGTTTGTTTTTCCCCCTAACATATAGGTAGGTGTGTGACGATGATGATGACTATCAGCTATCTAGTGTGTTGTACATTAATTTTCACATTTCAGATTAGCATCAGTCTATCTTGTTATGATATATAGTTGATGAATAACTTATGGATTCCATTAAAATCTGAGCACCAGATATCGGAATTCTACTGGGAAGTAAAAATGGTGAAGCAGAGCACTAGACAACTTTTTGGAACTATTTATCAGTCCTCATTCATTAGGGATTGTAAGCAGAAATTTCAGATCTCTCAACAAACGCTAAACCATTAAAATCAGTGAGTCGGTGTCTGCTGGTACAGCAGCGGTCGCTCGATCCTAGTGATGACAACTGTTTCACTTTCGATGTGTCTGAAATTTTCAGCTAACGACATCTCACCAAATTTTTAGAAATATATTGAGGCAAGTTATTAGTGAGCTGGCTATCATAGAATAGAATTTATTGGTTTCATTTGAAACAGACTGGTCCTTGTTGATATATCGATGAAAGCGAATATTTATTTGTGGTTTTAGAAGTTTAGGGTTTATAAGAAGAGTTTACTGTATCATTAAAGATGTATATAATGTATAAATGCAAAGGCCTGTAAACTGCTTACTTGTTCAAGTGCATATAATGTGTTGATTTCTTTTTCGCTTGCTGAAATTTTGCTCTCAAACAATTTATATTATTAGCAAAAATCCACTTGTGTTACGTATATCCAATTAATGCCTACCTCAGTAGGTAATATTTTCTGTTGCACTAGTAGGCTGAAAGAAAGCTAGTGACTGTCACATCAAGACATGGTACCAATATGTGAAGTGATTGACAATTGTATTGAGTCATGTGTATAGCTATCGACTACCTACTTGGGCTCCACATGATTATCGTAACTAGTTGTTAGAGACTGTGGGTGACATTGCTCGACATCATCTGCAATGGTGCAGGTACATCCACTCTGTTTTTGTTTAGAAACTGAATCCCGAAATCTTACACCTTATTTTTCCACACCTATTCTTTTCGACTAATACTGGTTCGGCTACCACTCCTATTACTTTGGGATTTGTCGTGAAATAATTTTATTTTACTGTGCTGATGCAGTTAGGGAAATTGAATCGATGCACGTGTCAAGTTTTATGTTTTGTGGATCTGATTGACTGACTGACAATGACTAACAGACACATATGTGGTGCGTAGGTGCTAAAACTGAATAACATTCTAGTGTATATAGTTGTTGTGATGGGCAGTGTCCCATAAAACACAATTTCACCACTATTTATTGGAGCACAGGAAAATTAGTACAGAGAGGTGCCAAGATATATATATATATATATATATATATCATATAAAGTGGTTTTCATTCGATTTATGTGTGAGCTGAGATACTGTCCGAGTACTCAAACCAAAGCAGGTGGTTTTCTCAGCGAGTCGCCCTCCGAGCCTTTGACTTAGAATTCTAATCCACG